TATTCTGTACGTGTTCTCGTTAACTCAGAAAGCACAGCCAAGAAGTTAATCATTTTCAAGGGGAGTGATAACAGCAGCACAGGTCGGGTGGCCGTGGGGACGGGGTGGCCCAGAACCTTCCATGGAAGGGCTGCAGGCTCATCACCCGGTGCCGGGGACGAGGTGGCATGGCACACAGCCACCTGCCAGCAGAGTTTTCAGGTAGAGCAAGCCTCCAACCCAGGGAGGTGGCTTTGCAGCAACTGAAGGATGAGTCAAAAGTGCCGGCGTCCGGGGAGAGGAAATCTGGCCGTGGGCGTGAGGTCAGTCACAGACTGTGAAGTCCTGTCCCGGTGGGGGCAGGACACATGGCCCAGAGCAAGCCCGCCCTTCCTCCAAAATCCCTAACTCTCTCGGGCAAAGGGGACCCAGTGCTGTTCGGGAAGCAGAGAGCATAAGTGGAAGGAAAGGTGGAGATCAGCGATGGGAAGGGCACCTGCCTCTGCTTTCCGCCCAGGAAGCCCCTCTGGCCAGCGCCCCGCCTGCACCTTGACTGAACTTGGACCGCTTCAGACCCAGAGGCCCTTTCCACGTGGGAGCTCCACGGGCCAAGGACTGTTGCATGCCAAAGAAAAACGAAATTTGCTAGCCGAATATTTTTTAGACATTTTGCAAGATGCACGGCCTCCCTGACAATTTTTAATGTACTAACTGCCTGGTCCAGTGAGTTGATTAATTGGTGCTGGAGAGATCAATAAAAAACAGAAAATTAAAACAATTTTAAAGTGATTAAGTAGTTTAACACCTGTCTCCCGTCACGTCAGCGCAGGAAGAAAAATAAAGCAGGTGTCGAAGGGGCCTCCTGAAGCAAGAGAAAACAGCGCCTGCCTTGGAGAAATGACAAATCACAGCTGGTGGATCAATCTGAGTGCAAGCAGCCCTTCCCCGGGCCGAGCCCACTGCCTCGGCAGCAAGAACCAGGGACCCCAAACGCTGGGCACCTCCCCCGGCCACTCCTGTAGAGCCGCTCCCCAAGCTAGGGAGGCAAGTGTCTGTTGAGACCCTGCAAACAGGGTGGGAGGAAGCAAGGTGAGCCCGAGAACACCTTGGCCTAGATCCGGATGGGAGAAGGCACCCGCTAACCTTCTCCTGGCCTCATTTCCAGCCATTTGGAGCTGAGTCTGCAATATGTGTGTGTGTGTGTGGCGGGGGTGGGAAGGGGGACGGAGGGCGCGGTTCAAATGCAATGAGAATGCCTGTGGGAGCCGTGGGGTGAACAGAGGAAGTAGTTGTAGCTCGCTAGCATCACCAGGGCGTCTTCTGGAAGCTTCAGGTCGCCACCCTGACTCCCAAGGGAGACAGCCTCTCAACCCCACCTTCCCTCGGCCTCCCACAGCCGGGCTATACCTACGGGAGGTGCAGGTACCACCTGTTGGATGGTGGCCCAGATGCCCCTGTAACTCCTTGTGCCAACCTCACTCCCCTCGTTATTGTGAAAGCTGCACAGCAAGTCACTCCTTTCCTGTAGTTTCGTGTACTGGACTCAAAATCACCGGAAGTAAACTCATGGAGCACAAGAGACAAACATGACCCCACTTTCCTGCCAAAGCCCTAACAACAAAGCAGAGGAAGTGACGTGAAGGGGAATTAACAAAGGCTAGGGGTGACGCCCCACGTGAAACACTTCACAAGTCTCTCCTTTAACCTTGAAAGTGGACTTGAATTTTGCATGTAAAGTGCAGTTCTGGTGTGACTCATCTTAGAAAGCTGTGCGGTCCTGTGGCTTCCCTGCCTGGGCACACCCTGCACCACCCTGGGTGGGGGTGGGGGTGGGGTGCGGCCCAAGCCTCAGAGCTCTGGGGAAAGAAGCTGGTCCTTGACCAATCCCTGCACTGGGACAGAATGGGCCTCGGAGGGAAAGCCCCTCTGTAAATGCACACCTGCTGGGCACAGTCACACGCTGTTTTCTGCTCTCCTGCTTCCTGGTCTCCTTCGAGGTCCCCTGATGTGGCAGCTTTCACCCCTAAGACCAGGACAGAAAAGGACCCCAAGCAGCAGCACAGAAACCTTGCAGCAGGTTTAAAACATTGTTATAAAAACATCTAGAAATGTGATTTAAACATCTAATAACATGAAATGTTGGACATCGAGGCCCGAGCTGAACTCACCAGCAAGTCCCCCTTCGAAAGCCCTCTGTGAACACCTATCACTGAATGTGAAGGGAAGTCATCGGCAGTAGCTGGAATCAGAGCAGGGCCAAGGACGAGGCGTTCCAACTAGTGTTTGTTTTAATCAAAACCCTTTTCTTAGCCAGGTTTGTTCCCTTTCTCAGACTTCCCTCTGGGAGTTCTGCTTCGGTATTCATGGGTTGGGCCACTCTATATTCATGTCTGGGGCCATATTCGTCGCAATGAAAAGATGTTAAAACCTTTACAGCCAACTTAGGCCAATGACAACCTCACAAAAAAGATTTCCAGTCTTCAGCTATTGGCTCTCTTCTTACAATAATCCATACAGCCAAATGTCCACATACCAAAACACAGTCGGTCTCTGGGCATTTCCTGCCACAAGGAGTCTTTGATTTGATCAGGATGCTAACAGGACCTGCAGTCTCACTTGTCTCATGAATCTCAAATGTCTGTTTGCCAAAGGCGCCATCACCAAGGTGCACTGCTCAGCCAGGGGAGGGCTGGCCGGTGGACAGGCAGGGCCTGTGCTACCCAGAAGGCAACTGAGGGGCGGGGCCCAGCCCGGGGACCTCACCACTCTCAGAAGCAAACACAAAGTTCTTGACACGGCGCCCTCGGGCCTGCTGCTCCCCATAGAGTAGCCTCGGACTGGGACTGACGGAGATAAAGTTTCCCCGGGTCCAAGTTCCAAACTCGGCTGTTTTGTTTCTGTTAAAATGCAATTGTTTTTCTCTGGAGTGTGCGGTGACTGCTCGGCATCAGGAAGATGTATGAAAACCTCCACTTCAATTCAGCATCCCTTTTCTCCCAGACAAACACGGTCGGATTTTAATAAATCAAAGAGCCACACTGTTTAATAAAAATTTATTGACTTACAAGTGATTATTTATCAAAAGACCATTAATAGCCGGTACTGAAATGATGTGTTACTGGGTGGTGCTGGGAGACTAATAGGAAATCAATGCAGCTGGCCAGCCAGAATGCATATGAGCAGCCCACCCCCCGACAGCTAGCGCAATTCCACCAGCCAAATACACCAGACGCTACCCCTGGCGCAATGAAAAGTTCCCCCTTTTTATTTATCGTTTACAAATGAAATGATCAATACTTTTAATCTAGAGCAAAATTTATTAACTTTCCCATCGGAGAGAGACATATTGACTGGGGGGAGCGGGAGTGTTGGTGCGGTGGAAGATGGATGGCGGGATGGTCGTCTCTTAACGTGTCCAAGAGCCAGTGTGCATGCAGCTGCCCTTCCAGCGGGTGTCCCAGGCCACACAGGCGAGTGCGGCCAGAGAAACCGAGGCTGGCCACCCTGGACGCACAGCAGGCGGATGGGGCCTACGACTCAGGGACTCTCATGCATCAGGGACCGTGGGAAACACTATTCCTGACCATTGAGGTTTTGGCCAATTCCAAAACCTCAATGGCTGAATGTACAGTCCCACCATTGGTAGGTGCTGCTGTGGCGGGCAGAGACAGGACGTGCCCGAGCCTTGGCACTGGGCTGGGCTGGGCACTCAGGGCTCTGTGCAGCACCCCCCACCACCTCACCCCAAACCTTTTATCACCTCTGAAGAGCAGCAACAGGGAATGGGTCTGACACAGTCAAGAATCAAGTTCCAAAGTTGGTTCTACTGTAGGATATAATTCATATCTCCTCACTTAGTAAAAGAGGGACATAACGAGGATGTCATCTCAAACTGCGCCATCAACCTTAGCCTGGCTGAGCTCTGGCCTGGCCCACAGCTTTCTAGTGAGCTTCCTCTCGCAGGGGAATTTTACTACCCTCTTTAGAAAGTTCCTTCTCTAACCGGCTGGGGTAAAAAAATCTATTTGAGTGAAAAAAGTCTTTCCAAGATCTGCCATCAAACCCACCTGGGCCCACAGTCACCAACAACGGCCGGGGACTCTCCTTCGCGCGTGGACACCCTCTGGTGGAGTTTCACTAGCCCCATTGTTTTGCAGGAAGCAAATGGTTTTAAAATGACTTCTCTTAGTTCTGAACTCAGGTGACTGTAGAACTTAAAGTCAAAGTTTGAACTATGGTTTAAAAGTTACAGAAACTGCAGAGGTGGAAAGGGCTTTAGAGGTCATCTAGCCCAAACAGCCAAGATGTCACGGACTTCGAAGTGGGACTGGAAGCTGCTGGTGCTCACGACTCATGAGTGCCACACTTGGTTCTGTTCTAAGAGCACCGTCTCTGCTGCTGGGATCACAAGAGGGAGCTATTTTGTATTTTATATGCTTCTCTGTTATTATCCCTGAGTGCCATGAAGTTTTATCCCACAAGACCAACTCCGTTATCCCAAACCAAGCATTTTGACTTATGGAGACCTTGGGCCTGCAGGGTCCCCACCTAGAATGACGGGGCAGTCTGATGTGTAACAAGTGCTAAATTAACATGTTAGAGATTTGTTGTGGGGGGTACGGCGTAATTCATCTCTCTTCTCCCCACTTAGTAAAAGAGGGACGTAATCATTGCTTAGTCTCCACAAGTTATTTCTTTACATAGTAGTGATTCTAAACCAGGTTCCTGCAATACTTTATGTCATCAGCACAGTTTTGTTGAAAATAACGTGAGAAAAATAAAGATAAAATATTAAATACCTATGAAAATCATAAATGTATTAATCAGCAGGCTTTTTTTTTTTTTTTTTTCCCAAGCAGGCTTTTTTTTAAGGGAGTTTAAAGAGGGATCTTGGTCTTCAAGATCCATTTTTAAAGATGATTCCAGCAGCTTGAAAACACTGTAAATATCACCTCTTATAAAGGCTGATATTGCTGTTTCCTCCTGAATACTTTGTAAAGCAGTTCATAAGGCGGTTCTTACAGTCATAATAGTGTTTTTATTCGAGAGTAAAATGTTTCACTGGGTAGCAGGTAAGAGGAAATGGGGCAAAGAGGTTAGGCAGTGGTTAGGGCGAGTTACACTCAGGTGAGGCAGGCAAAGTGCTATCGATTCAGGAGCCTCAGGGGCGGGGCTTCATTCCCACATCCCCAAATCGCAGGCCGGAGGTGGACTTGGAGGTGACACTTACCACGGCTGGTGCAAAATCCCGAGAGGTGTGGTGACTGGGCCACGCGGAGTGAAGGGAAGTTGGGGAGAGGATAAATGGCAGAGGTGAGGCAGCTCTCTTCTGAGGGATTGGAAACTGGTAGACCCTTGACCCAGAAGCTGAGGGTGGCTTGGCTCTGGATCTGCCTTCAGTGACTGCAGGTGGGCGCAGGGGGCCATGAAGCCTGCTGCTTCCCTCTGGCTGTGTGGTGCACACACACCACAGCCAGTCCTGCCCCTCACGGACTCTCCCAGGCCTCCGCTCCTGCCTGGCCCTGTATTTCCTCATGGCTTTCCACTGTCCTTACAGACTGCCCCTGCCATCCTGCACTCTCTCGCCCACCTCGACACAGCGTGCCCACATCACACACCTCTAGTCCCAGGGCACCATCTGTGCAGAACTCCACATCTCCATCCCTGCTGGGAATTCTAAGTTAACCAGGGAGAAGTGCGAACAAACATCTGATATGCTTTCAAAGAGCAGCAGCAGAAGCTGTTGAACAATGCTAGTCCTCTGACCAGAAGTCAAGCTTACACCCGCCAGCCCTGGCTTCTGGGTTCTGTAACTTCGTTAAGAAACGTGTTGCTTAGGGTTACATCTAGGGGAGAAAGAGTGAAGGGAAAATCCCCTCTGTTCATTCACCGTCAAAGACAATTTTATTTACTCACAAAACAACTCCGAAGCCTGGGCAGCAGCGCCAAGCTCTGCCCTTGTCCTGCCACATCTCAGGGTCCTGGACTTGTAACACTGAGCTCCATTATCCTTCACGCACAGTAGCACTTCAATCCCACAACAACCCTGTGAGGTAGGTATCACCACCCCTCCCCTCCCGATCCAGGTTACAGATGGGAAAACTGAGGCACGTGTTAACAAAGAGCAAGTCACATGGGAGTTTGGGGAGCACTGGAGTTTGAACGGGAAATGACTCTTGGTTCCCACCACACACTAGTCACTGGTCCATCTTGCCTCTTCCCATGCCCTTTGGTGATTGCATGAGAATTTAAAACTTCATTTTGCTGAAAGCCCTGCAGACAACAGTTTTCTTTTATCCAGTCTGCAAAGCCCCAAGGCTGGGGCAATGTTGGGGCTGGCTGGCCACACTGCCTTGCAGTGCCTCTCCTCACGAGTGGGTGGCCCTTCCCCCAGCCACGTCCCTGGCATGTGGGTGTCCTACTGGCCCAGCACGGGAATGTGGCCGAATCTTCCCCATCACTCAGCCCCGCGTGTGCACAGGTGGAGGGCTGACTTTAATGGCATTCATTCCTCCAACGGACTTAGTGTAAAAGAAACAAGAAGGCCTCTCGTCCTGGGCGGCAACACCCAGTAGCACTCGCTTCAGAGGGCAAGCCCAGGCCCTGCGGCTCTGAAGAAGCTGGCGCCAGGATCCAGAGCAGCCCGAAGACCTGAGTCTGGAAGGAATGCAGCAGTGGGGGCGGCGGCAAAGACTCCAGCTGGCTCCCATCAGGAGTGCCAAGATTCGGGCACGGCGGCTCCGGCCAGCGCGAGGTGTGGGCTCAAGACCGGCTCCTGTCCTCGTGGTTCCCAACGATCATCTTGCTGTACAGCTTCTGCTGCTCCTCTTTGAAAGCATCCTTCACCTTCTCCCTCTTCAGACCACCATCCCTGGGGAGAGGAAGGCTGCATGTAAGGACGAAGCTTCCTGCCCACCCTGCACCACAGCCACTGCCCCCTGCTGCCCAGAACCAAGACACCCCTGCAGAAACAAAGGTCCCCCACGGCCTCTCATCGGGGTGAGCTCAGAAACCGGCCCTGGACTGTGGAATCCAGCCTTTCTACCTCAAAACTCACTCCTGCTCGGGGCCAGAATTCACCACTCATGTTCAAGGTACTGTCATTGCTTAAACCTACCAAGGAGTTTTAAGTTCTTTCTACTCCAACATTCATCCTCATCTTAAAAAAGACAAAGGAGGTATTCTGGCATTATGGAAAGTGAACCAAGCTTTAGAAACATTGAGACTTACAACAAATCGGTAAAATGGATCTGTGAAATAAAATCTGTAAAGTTCAGATCCAAGGATTCTCCAAGTTCATGCAAGCAATGAGCACAGGGGAAATACTGTGTTCTTCCTTCTGTGTTCAGGGCCAGTACCATGGGGAATCCCAGCACTTACTCATATCCCCAAATAATGCGCTCCACTTGGATTTGCTTCTAAAGTCCCACTCCCACCCCACGTCACCTCAACTCTTCATCTACACCCTAGAATTATCACATCTTCGATGACTAAAGAGAATCCATGCCCGTTCAGTCCCCACCTGCCCTTTTCTTGAGTTACGGAGCGGTAGTGGTGGAAGTCTCTGACGAAGCCCCATCACTGGACAGACCTTACCCCAAGACCTGACATCGCTCCACCCTCTCACATCCACAGCAAAGGTGTCCTTTCAAAAGCAGCCACCTTGTCTTCCCCCAGCCTTGAGAGGGACCGTGAGCAGTGCATGAACATTCTGGCTCTACAAGCCTGTCAGACCTGAGTTCAAAATCTGGCCCCAGTGTTTGTTCTGTGACTTTGAACATTGGTTACTTAATCTCTCTGAGTTTCAGTCTGTCATCTGAAAAATAGGAGCAACAATTTCCATACTTCACGGAGCCCCTCTGAGGATGAAGTAAGATCGCACGGAGCACCCACAAATTTGAATTTCCACACTTTTCCCACAACGTCCACTCCAAAAATGCCCTCCAGAGCCCTGCACTTAACCTTGGGGATCCTAATACGCCAGAATGGTTTCCCTGAGCCAGCACTCACCCGTCACTCTCCTGTTATTGGAGTGTAACTACCTCATAGTCCAGTATAAGGGTCTGCAAACTATGGTCACAGGCCAAACACAGCCTGACACCTGTTCTTATAAATGACGTTTTACTGGAACACACACGCTCATTTGTTTATGTGTCGACTCTGGTGGTTTTCCTGCCACAATGACGGAATTAAGCAGCTGCAGCTTAATGGTCCACATGGTCCACAAAGCCTAACATATTTACTGACGCTACAGGAAAAGTTTGCCAATTCCTGCCCTAGTAGGTAACACACTAAATGCAAAATGGAAACTTGTGCCTTTCTAAGGATGATCCAATTTTGCCAAATATATGAGATCAGAGCCTAGGACTCCTATGAGGTTTCCAGATCAGCATCAGGGCTCTCCCCCCCCCCCCCCCCCCCCCCCCCCCCCCAGGCCTGAAGGGACAAGACTGCTTGGTGCCCTGGTAGACGGGTACCAACCCCAGAGCTCCAACTCACTGCTTTAGTCCAAGCATCCCGGGCTCCATGTCCCCCGAGATCAGGGTAACTGAGGAGAGAGCAGGCAAACTGCTCACGCCCCAGGGCTGGTGAGCTTCATTCTCCACACCAGAGAGGGGAGGGGTCTTCGTAAATGAGGTCAACAACTTAGCATTTCCTTCAGAAACTGACATTCTCTCGGACCCAGCTGATAAAATCACAGAGACTCACCACAGCAGGTCCACGAGTCCTCCCTGCCTGGCAATGGCGGATTTCACCCTATTTGCAAACTGGACGGCATCTTCATCTGCCTGTAAGAAAGTGAACGAGACCACTGAGCCCAGGCTCACACAGAGCTAAGTGAAGACCTCTGCAGCGGGGGTACCTACCTCTCTGGTCATGGGAGGCAGGTACCAAACGCTGCAGACGATGGCCCAGCTGGTCATCATTCTCAGCAGGTACGTCACCATCCCATACTTGCTGCTGTTCCAGAAGGCATCACCGAACTGAGGGTCATACTGAAAAACAGTGGACAGCAGTTCTGATGATGAATGCATCCTTGGGGCAGTGTCAGTATTAGAAAGCTGATTCTAGCCCCTCCACAAACACCTCTGAAGTAATGCTACTCCCGGCAATTCTGACCTCTAGAAACATTAACCTCCCTGACTGACCCAAAATACTGCTGTAGATTCCCGGGGAGGACACCCCTAGCAGCTTTCCTCAGACAAGTGTCCTCGTCTGCAGCGTTTGCTACCAAGTTTTAAATACCATTTCTAGTGCCTTTGACCCAAGAGAAAACAATTAGAATTGCTTCTGTAATTACGCTCTAGCAAAGCGAGTTATCTGTTTAAGCAGGAGGCTCTGCTCTGATTGACCATCAGTGCTCCCGAGTAAGCGGACGCACAGCGACAGTACGGGTCTCCGCCCCAGAGATGCTGCCCTTCCCACCAGGACGCAGGCTTGTAAGATACTTTCATTTGCCAACGACTCAAACGGAGGCAAAGGCTGTGATTCAACAGGATTTTGTGGGAAATGTAGCCAATGCTGTGACCCTCACTCTCACCAAACAGACTAATGTAAGTGGCCGGTCAGCCTGGTGGGAGGGGTCCTGGAGCGAGTTACAGAAGCAACAAAAGGAACTGAGCCTGAGGAGAATGCCTGGACAAAGCGGCATGGGACTGGCATCAAATGTTTGAAAGTCTATCACAGACAAGACGCGAGACTGGCTTAGTGTGATTATAAAGCAAAGACCGAGGACCAGAGAGTGGAAAAATAAGAGGAGGTGGAATCTCAAGCTGATGCCACACAACCAAGCTGCCAGCTGTGTGGACAACGCCCCTGCGGGGAAGAGCTCAGAAGGAACACAGGCAGGAGGCTGTGCTGGGGACCCTGCACTCAGGGCACAGACCTAGATGATCTTCCAGGCCTTTCAAGCCTAAGTTTTATGATTCGCAGAATAGAAATTGGATAATTATGCCCAGTTGAGAACCTGAGTACCGAAATGAAGATATTTAGATTTAATTACAGAAAATAAGAAATTTAGATACAACTACCGAAGGCTTAATGACTTCACATTATGCCGAAACCGGTTTGGCTCAGTGGATAGAGCGTCGGCCTGTGGACTGAAAGGTCCCAGGTTCGATTCCGGTCAAGGGCATGTACCTTGGTTGCGGGCACGTCCCCAGTAGGGGGTGTGCAAGAGGCAGCTGATCGGTGTTTCTCTCTCATCGATGTTTCTAACTCTCTATCTCTCTCTCCCTTCCTCTCTGTAAAAAATCAATAAAATATATATAAAAAAAAATGACTTCACATTATAATACCAAAAGGAAACCAGGGAGAAGAATGAGTTGTAAACATGTCTGTGATTTGAAGAGTGTTGTCCTGTTTTGTAAAGCACTAACTATACTGCATAGATTTAAAAATGTGATATGTGTCAGTGTGTGTGAGTCCTTTGCTTAGGGCTGAGTCTCTATTCCATGCTGGGCAGACCCTATAGAGAGAAAAACAAGGCAAAAAGCTTAAAACAGCAATGAACTGCTCAAAATCAGATAATGACAATTTTGGTGGAAACAATTTTGGTGGAAGTGTAGTAAGAGTCTTGAAATTGCTAAGGTTATCCAAGTTTGGTTACTGCAAACTGCACAAAACTAGGAAAGTATCTGTGGAGCAGAGCTCTTCATCTTCTGGGGACTTTAATTTGTGACTGGAATGAAATGTTATGTAAAATCCACATGCCTTTTCTTTTAGAGAGGAGTCCGAACTGCCCCAGGGGTCTAGGTTCCAAATCTGGTTAAAACCACCGCTCCAGAGCAGGGTGCCCGTGTGGCTCCTGACCGGCAGCATCAGCAATGCCCAGGAAGAGTCAGAAGCACAAGCCCGGCACCTGCATTTTCACAGTCCGTCCGGGTGAGCTAACGCAGCCGAGATCCAAGGACCCATGTTGTCTAGTGAGCAGAGAAGGCTTCTGTCCAGTGGTTTGTTTTTAGTAAACACGTACGGGGAAGCACTGGGTTCTCAGCACACTAAAATGCAGGGTGGCTGCAAGCAGAGCTAACACCACTCTCCACTACTGCACCCACAACAGACACTGCATCCCCCACAAACCTATCGAGCAGCCCTGACCCCTGGATCCGCTGCCCTGCAGCCACTCTTCATCGGCCATCCCTGCCCTGGTGCTTCACCCACCTGTAAGCATTTGCAAGAGGAGCACCTCTTCCCCCACTGCACCAGCTGTGCTGGCAAGATGGAGATAAGAAACAGTATTTTCACAGAATGCTCTGCAGACAATAGGCAGACCCTTGCAAAAGTATGGAGACTTAATTTCCTCACAGCTCAAATTTCCTCACTATTTTACCCTGATTTCAACCTAAATACTTTAAACATGTTAACAACAGCCTATGTTGTTCAGAATAGTGTAACAGCAAACTTTTAGAAATAATACTGTGTAGTTATAAAATCAAAAGAAGTGAAGGGGGAGGTGAGGGAAGGAGAAAAAGGGAAAATGAGTCCCATCTCTCTGGGTGAGTTTGAACAATTAGAGGTACCAGTTCCTAAAAGGTGGGGGGATGGACTAGACAGGCCCTTAAGATCCACTTCACCTTATAAACTGTCCTTGGTACACAGATGAGCCGCCCTGCGCCCTTGCACCTTCGCCTCTCCACCAAGCACACAGATCTCCTGGGCAGCACCCCCACTCCCTGCAGTAAGCCACCTCTTCAGGTGGAACACCTTCCATCCCAGCTAGATTTATGAAGACAGGTAATAAGGGGGGAAAAACACAAAGCTTATAGAGTGTTCCCCACTTCCTGAATTGGTGGGGGTGGGAGGTGTGGGCTGGAATCTGGCTACTCCACATTCCAGGACTCCCAGTCCCTTCTAACAGGTTGTGAACAAGGCCAAATTCTCCCAAGCACTCGACCCACATGGCCCAGCCCAGGCTGCTCTGCCGGAGAACATCAACCCCTGATGGTGCCACCAGCGCCTTCCTCCACCTTCTCCGGCTGCATCCTGTTCCTGGCAGCAGCCACAATGACCACACGCACCCTCAGAGGTCTTGTACCTTGATAGCAACAGGGTAAACCGTGGCTCCAATTTCAAAACTTCCCTTTTTGAACATCATCACGGATGTATTATTGATGCAGGTTCCTAAAATGCAAGAGAGAATAAAATGCTTTTTCTAACAGTTCTAATGACTCTTCAAACAGGATAAATCTGTCCTCTCCTCAGCTTATGAATGAACACTTAAGAGAGATGAGCAACATACTCATTCGCTTCCTATTCTCTTACGACAGGACCAGTCCTTGATGAGCACACACCAGCCTGGATAAAAGGCCAAAGACGCCTGCAGACTTGGCAGGTCTCAGTAAGAACTCTACAGGAAGCTGAAGACAATACAACAGAAGGGATTCTGCGTTTTTAGCCCCACAACCAATCTAAAAGGACCTAACATTATTCATGAAAACAGATAACCCCAACAAAGGCTGAGGAACTTGGTGCTGAGGCAACTCCAGCGTCCCCATCCTGCACCCCCCCCCCCCCCCCCCCCCCCCACACACACAGCAGCCTCGGTGGTGATCAACAGCTTCTTACCCTCTGGGAAGATGAGGATAGGAAGCTTGCTTTTATCCTGCACGTGCTCAGTCAGTCTTTAGAAGAGAAAAATAAAACAGAGGGTCAGACAGCCTTAGTCCATTATCACCAGAATGAATTTATGCATAACCTACATAGATGTGATACTAGATGCTGCATAAAAACAAGTGAACAAACATGATGACTCTTTATTTTATAAACCCCAAATCTAAATCTCACAAAGATAAAACTCCTAAGGACAGGGAAAATGAGATGACTACTATTTAATTCATACAATTATTCCATTAAGTATTAAAGTTTGTATACAGAGGACATTGCACAGACTTGGGACTGTCTGCAGGACACACCTGCTATGGGGCCTTGCAAAGAGCACCCCTAATAAACGCCTGCTATAGAACTTCTACCAGCCTTGGAAGCTGGGCCTACATCCACCTGGCTTTACACCCTGTCCCTGAGAGAGGCAGCAAAGGGACTTTAGTGGCAGGTTCATGTGTCCCTATAAAAGGTGGTCTCAGTTGGGTCTGGATTCCTCTCAATTTACTGCAAAGCTCCTGCCATTACTTGCACCAGATTAATCCTTTTTTCAAGCTTGAAACAGGGCAGCACTTTGTTGCATTGCTTTAAGTTTGTTTTTATCTGTAATAATAATTCCTTGTGAGATTTCAAATAGCATATGTTGTTTGTTACAAGGGGTGCAAGAAATTAGAAAGGGTTAGAAACATTACTAACGGTAAATAATATTAGGGTTTGTATACATTTTTATATTTCATGTTTTAGAAAAAATATTTTTATTATGAAAGCAGTATAGGCTTAATCTAGAAGACACCACAATTCTACTGTGGAGGGATAACTACCTCTAAAATGCATACTTCCTCTGTAACTGGTCATATAGACGATAGCATTTTGTTGATTTACCTTTTAGCCACCAGGTGGCGATCTTTCACCTCAGACCGCTCAAACCAGACGTGAGGGCAGGCCTTCACCATGGCTCTCTGAATCACACCCATGAGTCCCCCGTGCACTTGACCCACCTAATCTCAGACAAAGAAATAACTGGTAGTGAAGCCATCTTCACACAAACCCCCCACTCTGTGGAGAAAGCCCCACAAGATAACCACACCAACCTCTCACACTCTAACATTTTATTTATAACCACAGGTTTCTTACTATTAAGAAACCACTATTAGCCTCCCTGAATCTTACATTTCTCTTTTTAATCAGTGATACCAGAGATGTGTAATTCAAAACACAGCTGAAAATCCCAAAGTGAAATAATGAAGCTGAATGACACCTGTGTAAAGTGACCCCTGGGCAGATTCTCCAATGCCCTGGAGCCCAGTACGTTCAAATCCTCCCTCCCTGTCTCCCCGCCTTCTATGCCTAATCTCCAGCCACATTTTCAGTCACTCTGCTCGGAATATCTGCTATCAAAGTCCCAAGGAGTTCTCAGAAGCAACAAAAGGCAAAAATCTAGATCGGAGCCCGTACATAAACATGTTTACCTGCTCATACTCTTAAAAGCGAGCTTAGTGAGGGGCCCAGAAGCCTCCCAGACCTGACCAGTCTCTAAAGTAAGAAGCCTGCCCCAAGAAAGCAAAAGAAAGAAGTCTTACCATGGCATAATAGCCATCACTGGCTAAAATGATGACGTCGATAGGAGAGGTATGATTGGCCACACAGATGCCACCGTTTCTAGGCCTGTTTTTCCTGTTTAGAATGTATGCAAAGCAATACAAATTCATGTGAAACAATTCATTTGGAACTCATCCCTCACCTCAGCTTCACTAACTCTAACTGAAAGCTCAGAAGAGCCCCGGTTGGCTGGTTGTAGTTGGGTTGTGTTTTGCCAGCGCCACTTTCCCTCCGTATGTACCACTCACCTGTCGTGGTAGGTGATGATGGCTGTCAGGGCTCGCACGCAGATCCGGTAACACATTAAGTGAACGTGTTTACTCAGGAACTCCTTAAACCTGCAACAACAGGACAGATTTTTGTTTTTCTTTTACATGTCAGAAGACAGGAAAAGTTACTGACTCCAACAATTTAACTATCACAGCCTACAGTCCTTTATGACTGCAAAGTATTTTTTAAGTATTAGTGTATATGGTAAAACCCTGTAATTTATTAGCATCTTTATGCCCATATATAAGGAGACAAAGCATGATGAAAATTGTTAAATTCACCTAAGTAAAGGGTTTAGAATTCATAGCCCTAGAATTTCCTGCACAGGTGAGTCTACTAGATTCCTTTCCTTCCCTTGAGGCAAAGAAAGGCCAGAGTCCAACCTCCTACCCAGCCTGGGCAGAGGAGAGGCTTATCTGCTCCAGAATTTCCCAGAAAAAGCAAATTTTTCCTTCAAAGAACAAAGAAGTCCCTTATACATTTCTTATCCTTTTACCAATTTACTAACACAGTAGAATGCTTAAAGGTAAAGGTTAGCTGTAAAACTTGCTAAAACTAGACTCTACAGTTTGTGGTTTCTCTCCTTTGTCTTTAAATGGGAAGTGTGTGAGGGTTAGAGGGCAAGACTGGTAATAAAAGACTACAGTGCTGATCCATTGTTATTGTTGGGTTATTTCATCCACCTAAGATTCTGTGGCTTGGCTGCACCCAGAGAAGTAGCCTGGCCTTCATTACTGCAGCCACGTTCCAGAACTAACCACCCCTCAGCCATGGACACTCTCATTCTACTCACCTCCCATTTGGCAAGTATCCCACCACAGTTGTGCCCACCACCAGCAGGCTAATCCCTGTGAAAGCGAGAGCGATCCTGTAATGAGAAGACAAATTAAAACACAGCAAACAAATCCTTGCACCATGTATAGAACTGAATGTGGGAAATGAAAGCGGCATCATGAAACCACCCCCAAGACCCGATCACCTAGGACAGAGGTGGGGAACATCCGGCCCGCAGGCCGTAGAAGACCTGATATATCATTTGGTCTGGCCCTGTCCAGGCATTAGGAGTGAGTTAATTAAATGTTTGACCAAATATAGCAGGCTAATTTTTAAGTTGTTAATTTTGTATGGCCCACAAATGATGTTCTAAATATCCAAATGGCCCTTGGCAGAAAAAGGGTTCCCCACCCCTGACCTAGACTCAAGTTCTATCTGGAAACTTGAGCAGGCCTATCAGAACCAGAGATCATTTTGATTCAAAACTGATAGTGACTATGGATTTGGCTCTGAACTGACACTATTTCCTCAGGCATCAGGCAGCCAGAATGATGGCAAATCCTAACGTCGGTTGGCTGTTCTGCCCGCAGGCATCTGCTGTCCTGCTGTCTTACCCTTCCCTTTGGCTTTAAGGTGGCAGAAGCACAGCTTCTCTGTGAAACAACAGGAAGTAGAGCCTGAAGGTACCAGCATCTGGCAAAGCACACGGTACAGAAAGACCGAGATCAATATTGCCTCTGTACTAGAGGAAAGAATCAGCCTGCCCAGGGAGGAGTGGCCAGAGAGCACATCATGTTCCCTTCCCTGTATTTTGTCCATCTAGACCAGCGGTTCTCAACCTATGGGTCGAGACCCCTTTGGTAGTTGAACAACCCTTTCACAGGGGTCGCCTAAGACCATCCTACATATCAGATATTTACATTACGATTCATAACAGTAGCAACATTACAGTTATGAAGTAGTAACGAAAATAATTTTATGGTTGGGTCACAACATGAGGAACTGTATTTAAAGGGCCAGAAGGTTGAGAACCACTAATCTAGACACTCAATTGGTCTTTAGAAACCTATTTCTGTCTGATATGCAGAAAATCAGGGTCTTAAAAGGATGATCACCAGTACCCTTCCAAGGGTCAGAGGGACTGGCCAATGAAAGAATCCTGCTATCCTTTCTAAAATGGGAAAACAAAGCAGGGACAAAGGTAAGCAGATCATGCATGGGGCTTAGGCAGCAGCAACTCAGGTCCTTTGGCGCCCCCTCGGGCCCTGCCCTCACCTCAGAGGCAGGAGGAAGCAATACCGAATCAGCACTCCTAAGCCCCATAGGATAGTGAGCCGGAGGCTGATGTACTGGAAGTTGTAATTGGTTCTGCTCAGCAGGTTCCAGGACTCCAACTCCTCCGCTGAGAATCTCTTTGTCACCTCATCATCCATAATGGTCTCCATCCCTTTCCGGCAAAAGTAGAAAATGTCAGAGAGCTCAAACTCTGGAGTATTATCCAGAGCCTTACTGCTACCACTTCGACGAATTTCTTTGATCTCTTCTTCTAGTGAAGTGGGATCTTTTGCAATAATTCCTGCAAAAGAGAACACCCCGTCAAGCAGCGTGCTGGGAGAAAGCGTGTGAAAGATGCTCAGAGTACACAGCCCACCTTTGACAGAGTGAAGAGTCTGTGTGGGAGTCAAGCACCCAGGAACATACTTCAAAGGGAGCTTTTAGGATAAGGACCAAGACCCAGTCTTACCATTGGTGTAGGGCTTGTAGAGTTGGTGGTTCCTCTCTTTGGCTCCTCTCTCCATTCTCAAGGTCGCCCACTACAGAGGGAAAACGGTAACAATCAAGAATAAAATCCTTTCTTTCAGGGAACAACTCCAATTCCATTCTGTGAAAGCCTCAAGCCCTGTCACCTGAGATCAGATTGTAGCCAAGAAAGCACCCATTGTAAAAGTAAGCTCAAAGCTCTCCTGCTAGAGCAGGCCTCCTGCTTGGTCACTAAGACCAAGAGTTAAGTCGCCTCCAGGAAAGAGCTGTAGACTAAGAGGCATGGGTAAGTTTCCAGCTTCTCACTGCCTAAATCTCTGTCTCAGGTTCCTTAAGGAACTCCCTAGCTGACTGTACGCGGACCTCACATATTCCTCTTTACTGCCAAATAGCAGCTATTCACAAACAGCAAAATCAAATTTGTTTGTTTGTTTTTACTTTTTAACTTTTTTTTTGGTAAAAGCATCTATTTTTTTCATTATAATTTTTTTTATTGTTTAAAGTATTACATATGTCTCCTTTTTAGTGTCTGTGTCCATTGGTTATGCTAATATGCATGCATACAAGTCCTTTGGTTGATCTCTAACCACCCGCTCCCCTCTGAGGTTGGACAGTCTGTTAAAATCAAGCATTTTTAAAGTTATTGCCTGCCACTGGATGCTGCCTACCTCCCAAATTATTCCAAGAGAGCGACAATTTTAGTTTTCAAGTAGAAAAATGAATTTAAGTAATATATATGTCTGGACTATCCATTCACCCTCTGAGTAAACTTTTAAAAGGAGAACCCCACTTAATATAGAAAGACCTAAGAGTGGGTCATTGTTAAAAAACAAAAAAAGTATTAAGAAAAAAGACCACTATTTTGAAATTTAAAAAATTTGACACATATGTCCCTTATATCACTCATGCCAACACTGTGAAAGTTGGTCTTTTCTATCTACAGAAGAGAATGATAGCACGTCAACATGCTACATCTCAAGAGCATTTAGACCAGGGATGGGGAACCTTTTTTCTGCCAAGGGCCATTTGGGTATTTATAATATCATTCGCAGGCCATACAAAATTATCAACTTAAAAATTAGCCTGCTCTATTTGGTCAAACATTTAATTAGCTACCCCTAATGCCTTGGCAGTGCCAGACCAAATGATTTATCAGGCCTTATATGGCCCGGGGGCCAGATGTTCCCCACCCCTGACTTAGACAAATGAAATTATGTACATAACAGAACTTGGGCAACTGCATAATACCCTAATTGTCCTCATTACTAAAATAATAATCGACTCTGGAAGAGATCTAGAAAAGAGAGTCTCTTCCCGGAGCTTCTCTTCCTTCATTAAAGTATTTAAAAAAATATTTTTATTGATTTCAGAGATGAAAGGAGAGGGAGAGATAGAAACATCAACGAGAGACAATCACTGATCGGCTGCCTCCTGCACGCGCCCTTTTGGGGATTGAGCCCACAGCCTGGGCATTTGCCTGACGGGGAATTGAACCCTGACCTGCTGGTTTATAGGTCAACACTGCACCACTGAGCCACACCAGCCGGCCTTCATTAAAATCCTTTTAACTAAAGAGAGTCAGAGGCTGGTTCTCTCCCACTATCAAATAATGAGGTGAAAACATTAGCTCACTTATTACCTACAGGAATACATTGTCATCGAATAGAAAGTTATGTCCATGGTGATCAAAGAAATGGAACAGATATCTTAAAAGGTGTCTTTCAAACTTCTGTTTCCAGTTACGCAAGGTGGGAATGAACACTCGCATCCCATGACACAGCAAAATCCACATGGCCCAAAGCATTTGGTGTGGATTTTTCTGGCAGAGCCTGAAGTATTAGCAAGATTGCTCTGCATGGTCTAGCAGTGCCAAAAGCAGGACACAAGTTTAATCAGTGATCTGACCTCATCTGGAAATTTCTTCAAACTCCACTGTCTAAAAAAACAGATGGCTTACAGAGTCACCCACTCAAAGACAGGTCTACGGCAAGAAAACTCTCCTAACCCATTTTCTGTATTTCAGATATTTAGCCATTGATGTCTTTTGGCTCTATGCATAGATGACCTTTTCTAGAAGAAAATGTAAATATAACTCCTAAAATGGAGGAAGGTGAATTTCATCGGGGGATTCCATCTAGGGAAGAGGTGAATAAGGAGCAAAAAGTTTATACGCCTGGCCATACAGAGAGGTCACTCAACCAGAGTTTAAAGGGCTTTCCATTTTGGCCAAGACTCTGTATTTGTACTGCAAACACAAATAAAAGTACACAATCAGAATTGGTTCTGTAGTGACAATTCTGATACTCAGATCAGAACGCAATAGGCAGGCAATACATGACATCAGGCCTCCTGAGCATTAGAATTTATGTCTGTGAGGACTGCTTCACTCTGCAAACTTTAAGATGGCGTGTTTTTTGTTCATTGGAAAGGGACTGCCTTAAATGCGATTCTGTGTCTCCTAGCTCTATGACAAAGCTTGGTCATAAACATCCCCTTGCCCTCCTGCTTTGCACATTACAAAATGCTTCTGTTTAGGAAAGATCTGTCCAGTCAGAGTAGGGGAAGAGGGCAGGGTTGGAGGGACCAGGTTATTAGCTCAGAACAGCCTGTGAAGGAATGGCTGGACTACTTCACCCTGGCACAGAGGACTGAATGAAGCAACGTCTGATAACTACACAACTGGCGTCTCTGCGCTGTCACTTTAAAAAGTACAGTGTTCTGATACCCAGAATAAAACTGAGAACCCTAGGTTCACAGTTAATTTCCCTATCAAGCCCTCTCCTCCTCTGTGAGATGCCATTCACTACACTGTCAGTATCAGACTGCTAAATTATTCCCTTTTTAGCTTCTAGCAGACAGAGAAGAAACCATTTAAGGACATTAACAATGCTGCACTCTTAGGTGACATTAAACCCAACGCAGACCTTGGCAGGTGAAATGCAGGCCCTGCCCTTAGAAGTGCAGACGGTTCGATGGTGCACTTCAGTTGGGCATTCATTCTATTGGGAACTAATTTAGGAACTAGTCACACGCGTGAGGTCTAACAGTCTTAGCCACACTAATCTCAGCGGAAACCTTCCTCTCCTTTTCAGTCAGTTCCATTGCATTTTCCCATGAACTAACTAGATAAACCCAAAGACTCCGATCTTAAAAAATCCAGCTCCCATCCTCCATTACCTTCTAAGTCCCAAGCAAAGGCTACATCTTTTAACAACTCTTTTCTCTCCCTGCTTCAGCTATAACCTTTAAGTAAACTGTCAAATCTACAAATCTTGACTTTGCACCAAAGTGCCAACCTCACAATTCCAATCACCCGCTGGTCTTCCTGCACCAAGTCCAACCAGGTTGAGAATTAAAGGCAACACACCTCCTTCCAAGCCCCGGTGTGCGCCCCTCCCTCCTCTCTCCTCCTGTGGTACTGGGATCACTATCCCTCTGTCACCCAAGCTTCCAGGCTTCCCATCTGTCACCAACTCCTACCAATGCTCCCGAGGCAGTCTTTCCCAGCTGCCTCTTGTGTCATGCCACTCCAATCTTTCTCTTGCCTACACAACTAATGCACAACAGCTCTTTAATTGCTCTTCCCTTCCTCCAACCTATCCGAACATATGCTGCCAGTCTGTGTCACTTCCTTGCTCAAAACCCTTTAATTGCCCTGGCCAGTGTGGCTCAGTTGGTTGGGCATTGTCCCATGAACCAAAAGGTTGCCACTTCAATTCCCGGTCAGGACACATGCCCAGAAAGTGGGCTTAAGCCCCAGTAGGGTGTCTGCAGGAGACAGCCAATCAATGTTTCGTTGTCACATTGATGTTTTTTCTTTCTCTCCCTCTCCCTTCCTCTCCATAAAAATCAGTAAGGAAGTCTTTAAAAAAAAAATACAAAACCCTTCAATAGCTTCTCAATGCCTAAAAAAATATTCGGCTTTATAGTGTACCTCATTCCCTCCATGCACCCAACATTTTTGCTCTACAGAACTATGCACTATCTCTAAAAAAAGACTACTTTCTCATCTGTACATCTAGAATGATTTTGGCTTTTCAAGATCCAGTTCAAATGCCAACATCTTATGTGAAATGTTATCTACCCAATTCCTGCAGTCAGAATTCATCATGGCCTGTGTATTTTAGCTGGCATCACATTATGAATCAGTTATGCATGCATATGTATTTGTCTTACTAACTATAAATACCTTGAGGGGCAGGAGCCAGAACCTACCCGTATTTGCAACTCCAGCAGAATCTGATAGAGTGCCCTGCACTTAGTAGGCAGTCAATAGGCTGCATTTAACCAACCAACTCCCAGTATTTCTTTTCATCAAGATCCATATGAAAAGATAAACCTGAAATGATAAAACCTAAAACTACTTCCAGTCACCTACCCCATCACAATCATATTCTCATCTTCTTGATTTCGTCTTCAAAGCGACTCAAGGTTATGTTAAAATCACTCTTCTCACTGGGGCAGGGAGGACATATCTGACTAAAATGACCTCTTTCACTTATAAATCAAGCCAATTGGAAACTCTGATGACTTAGGCCAAATTCAGGAGCTGGTGGAAAATGCCCTGGATTTAGAATCTCTTGCCCATCCCACCCCATTCCCACTACATGTACAGTCTATTCCATTTCCTCATGGTTCCTATGACTCCCCACCAATCAATTCCACCTTGGAGTTTAGTGTTGATCAGATTAAAACTCTCCCATCTTCTCTAACCTGACCTGATCAACCCTTTCCATTTGTTTTCAGGCAAGAAAACTCAGGCCATTTGTTTTCATCATCTTTCTCCTTTATAACCAGGCTTTCTTCTCTCCACCTGCCCAAATCATTCTCAACTTAGTTGAAAGTCCACTCCTAGAAATTCTACCCCAAATAATACCAGCACTGTCTAGAGGGTAAATATGAAGCACAAACATTATAAGAAAACTAAAACATTTAACATACTGCCCTCTGCACATGAAGATTTTCCATGACTCAGCATTAATAGGACTGAATTAAGCCTTCCAGGAGAGGGTACAGAAAAGACACTGACTGATCCATATTCTATCTTCCCTCCTTGGCAGGTTATCATTACAAGGTTCTTTTACACAGAAAAAGGAACTAATCGTAAACTAGTTATTAAGTCAGGGCTTACTCAGGTCCACCAAATGCACAGGAATATGGACTATTAGATATCCAGTTTTAATAATCTTTATAAAGATTATCTATTACAGTGCAAAAATAGCTGATAAAAAGAAAACATAGATACAAAATTGTACATGCCATTAACACAACCATAAAATATGAATGTGTAATGCCAAAGACTGAAAGGTAATGCAAAAAAATGTTAAGGTGTTGTAAGCTGGAGAACATGAATGGATGTTTAAAAGTATTTAGTTTTATATCTGTCTGGTTATCTATTGCTACATAACAAAGCAGCCCACACCTCAGTGGCTGAAAACACTACCATTATGCATTTTGCTCAGGAATCTGCAAAGTGCAGAGTCTGGCATCAGCTGGTGGCTCAAAGGCTGAGGGCTGGGCCCCTCTGAAGACTTGCTCACTTCTGCATGTGGCATTGATGCTGGTTGTCAGAGCCCCACTGGGGCTGTGAGCTGGAACAACTTCGTGTGGCCTGCGCTTCCTCACAATAATGGCATCTGGGTTCCAGGGGCAAGCATCCCAGAAGCCAGACAGCAGTCACAATGACTTTTCTAACCTAATCTCACATGTCACACAGCATCACATACACCACATTCTATGTGTGAGAAACAAGTCACAGGCAGAGTCCCATTCAAGAGGAAATCAACCAGACTCCATCTATTGATGGCAGATCCTAGAATCACTTGGGGAGCTTTTAAAAATGCCCACCCAGACCAATTAAATCAGAATCTCTGGGGAGATTCTAGTGCTCCCAAATAAGTACTTTTAAAATGCTTTCTCAGGTGATTCAGATGTATGGTGGGTGAGAGAAACCCACAGAATTAAGATGGTCTTTGAGATTTCTTCCAGCTGCAAAGTTATATATATCAAGTTATATGTAAGAGGGTTGATAAATATAACTTCGCAGATGGAAGAAAGCTCAGAAGAGGCTAAATAAAGATCTCTCCTCTATTAAAAAACACCCACAGTATAGGTGTATTTTAGATGTATACATGAATATACAGATGTATGCTTTCCATGATCTAAAACAAGTTTGGACAAATCCAACTTATATCTAATACTACTGCTAATAAAAAAAAATAGCATTAAGTTCTTACTGTCCATTAAAATCAACTCAGAGCAGTAACCTCTATTAAAGGGAGAGCCACCCTATGCCCTTGCTGATACATATCAGTTCTTGCTAGCCTACCCCTTACTCTAGCTTGTCACCAAGTACTAATTAACGATGATGCTCAACAGGAGCCATAGGGCATGTTGAATGCCTGATACCACCTGTTGGGAATAAGAGGTGAAAATACAGTTCTTGAAATTCTAAATCTTGAGGTAAAAAGTGGGTACATACATACACATTATTTCCATTATCATTTCTCAATCACAGTGCCCCAAACCAGTGATTTTCAAGATGTGGTCAGCAGAGTATCTGATGTATAAAATTACCTGTCCTATGGATTAACCCAACAATATATACTTAATGAAATTTCCTTTGTTAATTATAATCTACCCTAAAGGTCACAAGAATGTACATGTAAAAATATCGTCACAATAAGAACGATTCACCTGGCTATGACCTTTAAAGTATTAATTTTGGGAAATATTGTCAAAATGGAGCAGAGAATATACATGGGTTCTAGGCCTTTGTCCCACCCAAGTAAGCCAAGTTAAAAAACTTTAGCTACTACAGAAGACAGGCTGATAATTACTATTTCTATGTTTTAAAAAATAAGGATTCCCATAGAGCTATGAATTAGTCACTGGCTTATAAACTTGAATAAAAGCTAATCATCTGTTATCTTCTAAAAGTTTATGAGCTGTTCTACTGATTCTATACTGATGTGTGGTTTTTTCCACTGTGGCAAAATGGCATGGGTAGTTAAGTTATATGGTCCATATGAACCCTGGGCTCTACTGAAGATTTTCTTGGATTGAAATTTAAGAAAATGAGATTTCCTGGCTTATTAAAATAAACACCATACATTAGTAACTAGTCCAAAGACTGAGTAGATTACCACTTCTCAAACTTTAATGTGCATATGAAGTACCTGCACTCATTGAAATGCAAAATATACCGCAGTAGGTCTGGAATGGGCGTGAGCCATCCATTTCTAACCAGCTCTTAGGTGATACTCATGCTGCTGGTCTCCATACCTCTTCCCGAGTAGCAAGGAACTTAACCCAGGAGACCATAAGTCGTGCTCAAAAATCATATTACTGAAAACAGGTTTCAAACAAGTGCATGTATACATAGCAGCACTATTGACAAAAGCCAGGTGGAAACAGTCTACCAATAGATAAGCAAATTATGGTATAGACACAATAAAATATTATTCAGCCCTTAGAAAAAGTACTGAAACATGTTACAATGTGGATGAATCTCAAAAACTTTATGCTAAATAAGTGAAGTCCGCCAGGCACAAAAGAGTAGATTTTATATGATTCTATTTATATGAAATATCCAGAACAGATAAGTCTAGAGACAGAACAGGCTCCTTCCTGGTTGCCAGGAGCTGGGAGAAGAAAAAACAGGGGCAACTGCTTAACAAATATGAGGTTTCCTTTGGAGTGATAAAAATGTTGTGGAACTAGGTAGAGTTGGTGGTTTTATAACACTGAATACAATAAAGGCCACTAAATTGTTCACCTTAAAATGGTTAATTTTGTCAATTTCACTTCAATTTTTAAAAATATAAAAAAATCACTCTTATAGAAATATTAAATATCAAGACAACACCCAATATTCAATGATATACATAAAAAAATTTCCCACTGTAATATAACATTTCATAGAGCTCACCATCTGAGTCTCTATTTCTTTATTGATAAAATGTAGGTACCCTGTCCACTGCAGAATTATAAGGCAGCAAAGAAAAATGAATGAAATTATTCTGTAAGCCATTATTAGATACTATATGAACAAATAATCGAACATGTTTTTACTATTATGAATGCATTTCTCAAATATACATCTCAGTTGTGGAAAATACATAAAGATTTGGTAATGAGTGAAAACAGATGTTGCTAATAAATTACCAAATCTTTGGATAGATATTAAAAATCTTGGGCTCTGCCCTGGTAGCTCAGTTGGTCAGACCACTGTCTCGATACACCAAGATTGCACGTTCAATCCCCTGTCAGGACACACACAAGAATCCACCAATGAATGCATAAATAAGTGGAACAACAAATTGATGCTCCTCTCTCTCTAAAAATCAATAAATACATTTCAAAAATAAAAGTCTTGGGGCACATAACAGCTTTAAGGAAATACACTTCTCACCCACTTCTTTTACATTATGACCAGTTTGGTTCAGCAGTATAATTAATTAGGTTCTGACATATGTTAAGGAATTTATTATCCATCTTCTCTATCTTGAAGAAAATAAAGCAATTCATCAAATGCCCCTTTTCATTAATGATTTTGGTCTGAAATGCAAGAACCTATTTAAAATAAAAGTTTGAAGGAGAGAAAATACTCTCCCATACTTATCAGCGAGGGAATATTTCAGCAGCAGCTTTGTCTCTCAGTATCTGTTACATAGGAAGTGGGAGCTGGCAGCAATTTTTTTCTTCAATTTTAAGCTATTCTCTTTGAAATAAACACGGAACATGAAGAGTTAGTTAGGTTCCTTTGCTGAGATGAATCGAACATACAAGTACCTTCCCTCAAAAGAAAGACTGCTAAAGGCTTTCCCAAGTACACATTTAGTTATTCTTTTCACTCAAAACGCTACTTCCCACTCTCCCAACTTTCTCAGATCCAATAGGGATAACAATCAACCCGAGAAGAACAATTCTTCTCCTCCTCTGTGAAGCAACCATTTGTAAAGAGCACAACTCACCGCAAAAATTTTTAACAAAGTTTTCATGTAGAGCTTTCGAATACCAAAGGAGACTCCAAAAATAGCGGGGACTATGATGAAAACAAGAAGGAGGGTGAAGAGGACAGTCAGGGAGATGCCCAGAAGGTTGACAATCAGGCTATCAAAAGGCAGCAACAGGAACATGGTGGAGGGTCCAGGCAAGGCCATGCCCTCCTCCCCAAGAACAAAGCACAGCCTTCAGATGGTCCTCTCAGACAGCACCAGCCGGGGAAACAGAGTCAGTTCCCAACGGAAAACAAACTCCATTCCAAAGTTCACATCATAGAGAGCATGGGAGGGGAATGAAGTAAAAAGGGCCACAGGAGGCAGCCCCAAAACACCAGATCTCCCCGGAACAGACGGGCTCGGGAGGTGAATGAGGCAGGATCAATCTTCAGGGTGAGCATTCGAGTCCAGGCTGACTTTCTGTAACAGTGAGCAGCAAGGGAGGGATCTCTGCTCTGCTGCCCTTATACTGCTTCCAGAGTTTTACTTTTTTTCCTGCCCAAGCGCATTTAGCAGATAAATCTGTCCTGAAGATCTGTCATTGCCAGAAGTACCAAGAAGAGTTCAACGTGGTGCCAGAAATATCCTGATAACTCCAGTGGAGGGGGGTGACTGCTGGCACTTCACACAGAAGGCTACTGAACTTGAATATGTAGAAATTGAATAACTGTTTTACTTAAAATTCCTTCGCAAGCTGAAAATTGGTTCATTGTAGAGAGTTCATATCTGGCCCCATTCTTCCTCCAGAGGCTCCTGGTGCACGCTGCTTCCAGGACCCTCCTACCTGGACAGCTGCAGTCTTTGCCAGCAGGACACAGATGCTGGCACAGAATGTCTCATGCTGCCTGTGGTGAGTGTAATTCCAGACGCTCCTGGCATTGGCTTCCTCTGGATATTCTTCTCCCTAAGGCCCCCTTTTCTCAGCAGTGACCTGGGTTCTTGGCAAGAAGTTGCTTACATGCTGCCAAAGCTGGGGGTGGAAACAGAAACACCGTCAGTCACACAAATCCAGAGGACAAACGTCAATATGCTTTGGGGGTGGGAGACTGTTTGAGGATCAGCCTAGAGTCAGTGCCAGCTTCTCAAGTCATCAAGGTCAAAGGGACTGAGCAGAGCAACAGGTGGCAGACACAAATGTGGGAGAAAAACACACCCATGTTTCATACAGGTTTCAACTCCAATGATATAATCTGTGACCACTCAAACTTTCTGAATACAAAACCTATGGATATAAGGCACATCTGAAAAGATAAAGAGGGTATACTGTGAAAAGTAAATGTCCCTCCTACCTGTCCCCCAGCTACCCAGAGTTCTTATCCAGGTACAACCGTATTACCAGCTTCGTATTCTTCCCACTATTCTATGCTTATACAAGTAAGTCGTAACTTCTCTTCTATGTGGCCCCAGTCTGGCAACAATCATGATGGCATATTATGAACACTGCTCTTCACCTTGCTTTTTGTTTTGTTTTTAGCTCAATATATCATCGAAGAGTGTTCAATCAGCACATACATAGCTCCCTCACTTTTTACAGGTATACTGTTTTTAACTGTAAGACTAGTTAACTGGTTTTCTGCAGTTGGACACCAATGTTTCTACTTTTGTGCTGTTATACATAATGTAACGAATAACCATGTTGCATACATGACTTAGCACACAAAATGAACAAGCAAATATATTTTCATGATAAATTCCTAGAAAGGAAACTTCAGGGGAAAAGAAAACATAGAGTTTTAATTTCATAAGATATTGTCACATTTTCTATATAGAGACTAAACTCCTCCAGCCTATCTCCCCACACTGGCCATTCTTTTTTAATTTAAGACTATTTTTTTAGAGCAGCTTTGAGTTCACAACAAAATTAAGAGGGAGGTACAGAGATTTCTCTTATATCCCTTGCCCCCCACATATGTAACAGCCTCCCCCATTATCAACATCCACCAAACAGGTGCATTTGTTACAAATGATGAACCAACATTAATATATCATAATCATCCGAGTCCATAATTTACATTACAACTCACTCTTGTTGTACATCCTATTGGTTTGGACAAATTTATAATGACGTGTATCCATCATTACAGTATCATACAGAATATTTTCACTGCCCTAAAAATCCTGTGCTCTGATTGTTCATTCTTCCCTGCCCCAACCCCTGGCAATCAATAATCTTTTTACTGTCTCTATAGTTTTGTCTTTTCCAGAATATAGTTGGAATCATATTGTTACATAGCCTTGTTAAATTGGCTTCTTTCACTTAATATAGCCACTCCTTTTTAGAATTCTACTATTTCAAATACCTTATAAAAGTATTCCCGTTTTATATTACTCATCCCTAACCACAATTTAGCAAAGTGAATCTTGAACTTGGGAGCATCTTATCAAGCCCCTCTACAAACATTTTGGCTTCACACCAATTACCTTCAGGCTCTACTTCAATATATTAAGAAGTTCAAGAATGAATGAACAGATAACTGAAATTACCTTAAATTTTGTCCAGTGCTTTATAGAACTCAGCTTTCACATGTGATGTTACAACCTGTCAACACATACTATTTCCATTTTACCAATTAGGAAACCAAGCAAGGTAGACACAGATCCAATTCTTCTGACTCCTAGCCCATTACTGCTCCCATTATATTCCCACACATCTAGTGATTAAAAGCCATGACAGTTCAGTGGCACCAAGTCACAAATACTAGTTCCTGCATTTGATCCTCAACATCTTCCACTTCCACATTACCATTATTATTGCTAACACTTGCCGAATACTAACAACAGGACAATGAGCTAATATAATAAGCATATTACATATACTGTGCTCACTTAATTCTCACAACAACCCTGTGATGGAGTTATTATCGTCATTGTTATTTACAGGTGAGGAAACTGAGGCTTAGAGGATAAAGTAAGCTACTCAGGGTCAAATAGCTAGTAAGTGGTAGAGTAGAAATTTGGACAAGTATATCTGTCATAGAGCCCCTGCTCTTTAACCACTATGCTCTCCTATCTCCCAGGCTACCCTGAAATAAATTAACATTTCCTTCATGCCAGTCCTGCTCTACAGAACTACTTGTGATCAGAGAAAAACCACAAGGCAAATCTGGACTCATGTATCAGAATTTGGTGTTCTCAGAATTCAAAGAACAAAACTGCTCTTTCATAAACTAGCCAAACTGATTATACATGCCAGATTTCTAACTACATCCCAACAGAGGTTCAGGAAATTAGATGTATTTCTGAGGCTCAATCAACTTTTAATATGCTGTCTGAGACACTGTATTCCTTAAACATGTCTACTCCAGCCTAATTCTAGGGTCCCCCCTCCATTCCGCTCTCCCATACCACTCACCCTTGCCCAGCACTCCCATGGGAAAGAGGCAGCAAGATCCCTGTCCCATTGGACAGCTGCTGTCACTCTGGCCAAGGTTACCTTGAGGTCCTGTACCCAAGGTGACTGAAAGCAGGGTCACTTTGACTTTCCCATGCCAGAGTTTCTTTGAATTATAATCAACTGAGAATTTCAAAGGTTATGCTGGATTCATGTCCCCAAAACATTAAACACTTTTAAGCAATCAACTAATTTCTTCACCTATTTCAGGGGTTGGCAAATCATCATATGATTATGGGCCAAATCTGGCTATGGCCTGTTTTTATAAAGCTCATGACCTAGGAATTGTTTTTGTATCTTTAAAGAGTTGTAAAAACAAAAAATAATATGTGACAGAGACCAGGGCCTGAAAAGCCTACAATATTTACTATCTGATCCTTTACAAGAGTTTGCTGACCCATGACCCAGCTGCTCTTCCTCCTGAGAGGTAGTGAACTTCCCCTTACTGTCCCATCCCACCTGAGTTCTTGTTTACTTACCAGTGCCAGACTCCAGAACAGAGAACAGCCAAACTAGCCAAACAAGTTATCTGGCCAACACTATACAATCCTCTTATAAATTCTTAGAAGCAGAGAAAAAGCAAGCAAACTGCAGTTATCAAACAGGGTTCCAAACATCTTGCTGGAGGAGCAAAGCAGTCATTAAAGGCAGAGGTAACTGTGCCATAAGGCCCCCTGAACACAGACTGTGATCTCTGGAAATATCAGAAAATTGCTCACATCAGAACTCAATCACACTACAATTTCTAGGTAACTGCTCACTTAGGAGAGGGTATCACTATGTCTCAAGTAAATACAACCATGACTCCTTAAGCATGAGGCAGGGGAAGCCATGAACTCTAAGGAATATTTACTCGTTCTCTTAACTTCCACAGCTTTCAGCCAAAATCACTAACAGCCCAAATGGTCCAGAGAAAAACAGAAGAACCAACTGGTTCTGACTTTTTTAAAAGGAAAGATGGCTTCATTCTAGGAATGTGACAGAGCCCACTGCTAAACTAGCTAAACTTTTCAACACTCTGAATGGCAAATCTGGGCTTTTAGGCCCATAATTTCCAGTGTACCTCAGTTCTTAGACGGATTCAGTTCATGCATTCAACAAACATTCACTGTTAGGTGTTAGATACTTGGTGGCGAACAAATATGCCTAGAGAAAAGTATTAACCAAATTAGCATACACAAAGTCATAATTTCACAAAATGATGATTACCAAGGAAGAGTCCTGGAAGAGAAAATAATAGAGGGGAGTTACAAACTTAAATTGGGGCATTTAAACAATTCTGACCAAATCCCAAGGCCAGTACCATTGTGGTTCCTCACTGCAGAATCAAACGCTTTTCAGCTAGCTCTCTGTGACACATCCTACTTCAGGAGACCATGACCACCAGACTGTGTCCAGAGAGATGCCACACACCACCTCAAAGGGAAAAAGGTACGGCATTTTATTACAAATAAATGCTTCGGCTACACAGCAATAATGCATTTTTAAAGCACACCAAGCACAATGTCTGTCTCAGTAAATGGTATGCACCGGTGGGGTCCCTCAGCCTGGCCTGCGTCCTCAGCCTGGCCTGTGCCCTCTCACAATCCTGGACGCCTCGGGGGATGTAGTATGAGTGAAACGGCAGGTGGCCCGGAGGAGCTCCTCATCCAAGCCCCACTGCGCCTGCCCCCCTTCCCCCATGCTGCCGCTTGGTAAGCCCGCTGAGCGGTGCTCCCCCTGTGGGAGCGCACTGACCACCAGGGGGCAGCTCCTGCCCCCTGGTGGTCAGTGCATTTCATAGCGACCAGTCCACCGGTCACTTAGGCTTTTATATAGAGAGACCATTATCAGAAGAAACTCAGAGTATTGTCTTCAGTTCTTGGTACCAAATTTTAAGAGGGCTAGATAGAGGGGAAGGCATTTCAAAGTATGTCACAAAACCCACAAGCCAAATACTACTACATGCCTAGCAAGCACTAGTGCTCCATAAAAGGTAAGCTGTAAAGCACAGAAATATGAGTTAAAATGACAGTAAGATGGCAGAAAAAAAAATTTTACCACAGTATCGGTAAAAATGAGAAAATATTCTCAATTACTGCTGGTTAGAGTGTAAAATGGCACAACCTCTATGGAGAACAATTTAGCAATTGCCATCACAATTTTAAATGCACATAATCTTAGTTCCAGCATTTCTACTTCTAAAAATTTATCCTAAAGATAAATTAGAACAGTGGTTCTCAACAAGGGGAAATTCTTTAATCCCTTGTGGAACATTTGGTAATATCTGCTGACATTTTTGGTTGTCACAACTTGGGATGGGGGTGCTACTGGCAGTGAATAGAGGGCAGGGATATGTTAAATGTACTATGATGTACAGGCCAACTCCTACAACAAAGAATTATCCAGCCCCAATATCAATAGTGCTGAGGATGAGAAACCCTGTAGTAAAGCATGTGCAAAATAATATATGTGCAAGGTTACTGACTGAAGCATTGTTTGTAATACCAAAAGAAACATCAATGTCCACTAATAGAGGATACAATGGAATATTATTCATCTGTTTAAAAAGACACACACACACACACACATATATGCAC